TTCTTAGAATTAGGTGGAAAAAAGTAATAGAGTTGGGTGTCATCTTCATATAGATGGCACCACACTCCAAGGCTCCAGATGACCTCTCTCAGCAGTTTCATGTATATGTTGAACAGCATGGGGGACAACACAGAGCTCTGGGGGACCCCACAGGCTAGTGGCCAAGGAGTCGAACAGGAGTCTCTCAGCACCACCCTTAGGCTTTTCCTCCAGGAAGGAATGGAGCCACTGAAGAACAGTATCTCCAACCTCCATCCCAGAAATGTGACTCAGAAGGATACTATGGTCAATGGTATTGAAAGCTGCTGAAATATCAAGGAGAACCAACAGGGACACACTTCCCCTTTCTGGTTCTCTGGGTAAGACATCCACTAAGGCACCCAAAGCTGTCTCTGTCCCATTATTATGCCTGCAACCAGACTGAAATGTATCTAGATCATCTGCTTCATCCATGAACCCTTGGAGTTGAGAAGCCACCACATGCTCCAGTACCTTGCCCAGAAATGGGAGAATGGACACCGGCCTGTAGTTGTCAAAGACAGTGGGATCCAGGGAAGGCTTCTTTAGCAGAGGTCTTAGCACAGCCTCCTTGAGACCTGTGGGGACCTTGCCCTTATGTAAGGAGACATTAATCACTTCCCTGACCCACTCCACCAGTCCCCTTCTGGTGTGCTATATGAGCCAAGAAGGACAGGGATCTAAAGCACATGTGGTGGCTCTCACCTCTCTAAGGATCCTGTCCCCATCTTCAGGCTGTACAAACTGAAAAGTATCCTTCGACAAGCAGGAGCCAAGGTTACAGCAACTTGAGCTGTATGAATTGTGACATCAAAGTCAGATCGAAACTGAGCAATGTTTATTTATTTGCTTTGCTTATATACCGCTGTATCTCAAGCCCGAAGGCGACTCACAGTACCCAATCTTCTCATCATCCAAGCGTAGTCCAGGTTCGTCGTCCATTGTTCCATTCCTATGTTCCATTACCAGATTGCACTAAATTACTCAAACGCCTGCACAAACATCCAGGTCTTCACCTTTTTGCGGAATACCATTAGAGATGGTGCTAGTCTAATGTCCGTAGGAAGGGCGTTCCACAGCCGAGGAGCCACCACCGAGAAGGCCCTATCTCTCGTCCCCACCAGCCGAGCTCGAATGCCAGCCTTGTTATCATAACCACTGCTTGATACAGGCAGTGCGGCATTCCGTGAGAGGCAGGTCCTCTCCCCGGGAATGATTTCTCAATAGATCCCGTGTGGGTGTCAGTAGGCAGTAGCATGCGTTCCCCTCACTACACATGGTAGGCTTGTGGCTCCGGACTCCGTTTGTTATCTGCAAAATGGTGGGCATGTTCTTCACAGTGCACTGTTGCATGTATGGCATCTGAGACAGGTTGTATTAGGCCCCTAACCATCCAAAACAGCTCTGCTGGTCAGTGTTGTCCTGCAACAATAGTGTTGGTATAAAATGCTGTTTTTTCTGTTTTTATTACCTTACCATAGATCTTCAGATAGAGTTTTACCTGTTTCTGGTTGGAATCACTCTTGAGATTTCTGCCACTGTTGTTCTAGTCTCCATCTCATGTGTTTCATTGTTGCCAGTTCCTTGGTACACCAAGGGGTTGGTTTAGCGCCACTTCATGAGAAGGGACTTTTCAGGATAATCATGTTTACCACTTTGGTCATTTTCCCTGTTTCAGAGATCAACCAGGACTTCAACAGGATCACCTGCCTGGGTAGCAGGAAAATCCCCCAAAGTCATCAGGAATCCATCCAGATCCAGAAGCCTCCTGGGGCAGACCATCTTGTATTTTGAGTTCACTGAGTCTAAATCTGAGTCTAAATCTAACCTGGTAATGATTGGTCCATGACAATGGAACTATTGAAGGTTCCTTCACACCACTGCCACCATCACCCCATCCCACACAGAAAACTCAGCCCAGAATGTGTCCACCAGCGTGAGCAGAGCCAGGCATCACTTGAGAAAAACCCATGGTTGTTATGTCTTGAGACTGCCAATAGGTTCACCCTACTGATGCAGTAAAATCAAATGTTAATCTGTGAATCAATTAGCAGGGAGCAGAATCCAACGGTTACCTAATACCATTCATGGCATCATTTAGTAAGTGCATTCAATATCATCATTGTCAGGACTATTCAGATGAAAAATAAATAAATCTGGAAGTTTCCATCCTTTTTGATTCAATATCCATCTTACCATTACACACGCGCACACACACTAGCTGTGCCCTGCCATGCGTTGCTATGGCACCCACCCAACAGAACAGCAGCAGCAGCAAAACTGAAGCCAACCTCCCTTGTCTCTTCCCTGAGCTGGAATGAGCCTTCCAGCCATGTGCTTGGGTTTATAAACATCAATGGCTGCCAGATGCTGGTAACCTCTCCCATCTCCAAAACGTAAGTCCTGATTGGCTGGGAGGCAAGCAGCTTAAGCTTTGCCTCCCAGCAGGCTTACTTTCATTAAAAACGCTTCATCATAATTCGATTTGACTTCTGAGCCACTGAAATCAATGGCCCAAGGCGAATCAAAACTATAGGAGACTTCCGGCTCATGGAAACGTGGAGGAAGTCCCTTCAGAAGTCCAAAACTTCTGAGTTTTTTTCCAAATTCCGCCACATCCAAGTGGACCTACCCATGTGTAATAGCTACATTCTATCTCCTGGCCTGATCCCGTTCACCCATATCAGCCAGTAGTTGTGATTGACGGAGGTCTGTTCCCCTCTCTATTAAGAAGCAACTGGCTGATGCTTTCATCCTGTGTATGATCCCTGTTGTAGCTGTCAGAAGTCGAACTCCATTGCAATCCCATTGGAGATTGCTGGTACAAAGAGCCCACAGTTTAAGAAGACCTACTCTCAAGATCTCTGCTGTCCCTTTTATTCTGACCTGACACTTGTGACAATGAGATGCTGTGGTGATGTGACTGTGATGTAACTGCCTCTCATCCAGCTTCCCGAGGTGGGTGCTTCACCCTTCCTCCTCCTTGTGTACAATATTTAATTAATATTTTTAGTCCAATTGCACTAGAAAAGGCAGTATCATTTTTGCTTTTTGGTTTTTAGGTAAAATGATTTACTGACAGGTGTAATAAAAAGGAGGCACAAGCATATGACAAGCAAACAAAGGCATAAAGCACCAGAAGAGGAAAGAATACATACTTATGGCTTTAAGGTTTAAAGTTCCAAGGTGACAGGTTAATACAGATTTGTTAAGATATAATAAATAGCCTATCTGTGGCATAACACAAAAGTTCAGTCTGCTATAAAACTCAGGTTTTATATGAACTGACATTCTGGGGCTGATGCTCCAGGCCCTGGGTTAGGTCATGACACGAAGGAATATATAAATGAAGGAATATATACAATGTAGAAAGAGCTTACAGCATTATTGATTTGTATTTGGACATATGACTGAAGAGCTAACAAATGGAGTGGAAATGCTCAGTTCTCAAAGGGTCAGGATAATGTTGGATGTACTTGTCTGGGTATAAAAAATCCCAGGGCCACCCGTGCTGACAATGGAAGAGGATACGTTGAGACTGCAAGGGCTAGAGCTAAGCAGTAGTAACAGCCAATCATTACTTGGGATTTTAGCATAATTAAGTGAAGTCACGTTAGGTCACAGATGGTGGTGTTAAAGGGGCTTAAAGGCAAAAGGCCAGGAAGACTTAAGGTATTATCTTCAGCTTTTGGAGTACCCTCTGTTGACTCTGGACTGAAGATCATGTACAGCTAGCTGTGTACTGTCAGTTTAATCCTGCAAGCATTCTATGATTTCTTGATATGTATGTTGAATGTATGATGCTGAATCTATACTTTGCATAAAGATAAAAATAAAGGTTTCTCCTTGACATTAAGTTTAGCCGAGTCCAACTCTGGGGTTGGTGCTCATCTTCATTTCTAAGCCGAAGAGCCAGTGTTGTCTGTAGACGCCTCCAAGGTCATGTGGCCGACATGACTTCATGGAGCACCACGGCAGAGCAGTACCTATTGATCTATTCACATTTGCATGTTTTTGAACTGCTAGGTTGGCAGAAGGTGGGGCTAACAATGGGAGCTCATCCCACTCTACGGACTTGAACTGCCGACCTTTAAGTCAGCAAGTTTCGTAGCTCAGTGGTTTAACTCGCTGCACCACCACTACCTCTTTGCATAGATACTTCAATTGAGTTTTATGTGAATCAGCTTCTGAAATCTGCAGAGCCTTGAAATTAATGACTGGAACATTGCAAAGTTTCCTCACATTTTGCTATTAATTCCGTTGATGCAGAAGCCTCATTTGAATTGAGTTTTATCATCTTTCTGAAAAATATCCTACAGCCTTGGAAAAGGCTTCTGGCAGGGCTAGTTCAATCTGTACCACTCATCTGAAAATATGTGAAAATAGGTGGCTTAAAATATGTCATTGAACTAAGATGAACCATTTCCCCCAGTTCTTTAGCAACAATAGTGTGACTACTTTTTCTGTCTCTTTGGAGAAGTTTTGCTTTTTTTTTTTTTGCTTTTTTTATTCCTTGTACAATCATTGGATACAGCTGAAAACATTTGAAAAATAATACTGGAATATTATTTTATGATTTCCACAAGAATTTGGAAGAAACACTGGGCAGATAATACCAATCCAAGACTGTGAAAAACATCAACGTGTTACAGTGACAAGATATAGCTATAATCAAGTCAGTTGAAGTATGTGAGCACAAAATTATATGCTTCCATTTATAACTTAAAATTGACCATTAGTGTTAGCTTCCAAATATACTTAAAACTCTTGGGAATGGTGCGAAGCAGCAGCGGTTTTATTCAATAATATGTTCTGAAAAGGGACAGAACAATTCCACTGAGAAGCAACATTAAACCCTCTGCTTCCCCTCAGAGAACAATGTTTTCTAGAATGACAATACAATCATAACATATTTTGTGGATTTAACTGTAGATCCTCCAAAGGCTTTTGCAAGAACCAAATCAACAACACGAAGACAAGAATTCAAGTGCATGACTTTTTGTTTATTTACTAACGCTTACAAAATTGTGTAATGTGTAACTCATGAGAGTTGTAACCCATACCACTGTGAAATGTTACTATATTATTTTTCAACAAAGACCAGGCCTGTACCAGCTTCCTTTTTTCTGAAATTGCACACCAGAGACTAGAATGCCTTCACATCCTGGTCTCCTCCAATGGTCGGTTCATGAAGTCTTGAATGGCCTGGTTTAATGGAAGCCACTTACTGACAGAAGCTTTCAGTGAATTAATCCACCTGGAAGAGAGGATGGCAAGACACTAAATTAACATTGTTTGTGTAATGATGAGATAAACAGAGCTAAGAGTAGTGTGGTGTGAATACAACATATGAACAAGTCACAGCACAGTGAATGTGATTCCATACATAGTGATGACTGGCAGCTTTAGAAAGTTTGTAAACTATCCTTAGGAGGAAGGGAAATGTAGTCCTGGTTTTCAACATAATTCTCTATGTATGCTGCCATATTGCAGTCTATAAATCTTTTCTTTTTGATACAGTTCCAATCCAGGCATCTTTAAACACCACCACCACCTACAACAACAACAACAACAAAACAATAACAACATGACACTGAAAACATCATGTGGGGCAGGGCAAACAATATGTATTGATTGTGTATTCCTGTATGGGAATGGGTTGGACTAGATCACCCATGTGGTATCTTGCAACTTATTCTATTATTCTGTAATAGAGTACTGAAGCTGTAAATCCCTTAAACTCTAGTCATCAGTGTCAATGGTGAGGGATAATGGAGACTGCAGCCCAGTCTTATATGGAGGACCATATATTTCCAATTGTGTTCTGGAGGCTGCATTTAGAAGACAATTTTCAACAACATGTAAGGAGAGTGGACATGCACAAACACACCAGCTCCACTTCCTACACTCTTGTTTTGGGTACATCTTTCATGTTATGTTTGAAATAGAGATCCTCTTCCATTTATGAGGATTCCCAGCATGAGGGAGAGATCCTCCATGACTACAACAGCATCTCTTCTTCAGGCCTCTGTCTTCAACATGAAAAGGGTGATGAGAGAAGGCACAGAGCTAGCATGTCACTATATATCTTTCCCCCTCTGTGTTAAAAAATGGAATTTGAACATGTGACACTTCACAAGCCAAAGAACGCTGTCTGATGATTTCAATATTTTTGTACATGACAGACACCAGACTTGTCTGCAAGTCACCAAGGTCTGGAAAACGTACGAAAGCTGAGGCAAGTTAAGCCAAAATAAGCCCTATATTTTCTGCAAGTCTGTGACAACACCAAAATGTTTAAGTGAGCATTCAATTTGCCAAAAACCATATTCAAAGTTGTTTCGTTAATACAGTGGGCTGAATTCTTTGAGTTGGATTCAGACTTCATCATTGTATGATTAGATCTTGTCATCAGTAGTCCCATAGCTTCAAAAGTTTTTTCTAAAGTAATTAATTTACTGTCATTGTTCATTGCAATACTGCTTTTTACTGATGATTTTTTTTTACTTTTGGGAAAAAAGGATTTATAATAGCATAAAACTGAAAATTTCCTGACAAAATGGCTAAGATGCTCCTTCATGGTAATTTTTTTAAAAAAGGTGGAATGTTAAAGTCATTTTATTTTCCCTCATTCCATTATTTTAAAAATGGAATGAAGTTGTTTCCTTGTTACCTACTCTCCCAATGAACTACGAGCAACTATGTTACAAATAACTACATTACTTCCAGTCTTTTACATCTAGACTCTGACAGCTATGTACTTTAGCCATTACTTAGTCCAAATGCATTGGCCCTAGTCTACAGTGTTGATCTTGTTATTTGTAGATTTTCCTGGATCTGCATATATGTTTATATTGATTTTTTTGGGTTCCCAAAAAGCTGTTTCAGAATTCAAGGATTTTATGAAGGCAGAACTCACATTTGTTTCTATTTCCTCTCCTATGTGACCTGAAAGGACCCATTCTCAAACAAAAGGCTTCAAAAGAAAGCTCTAGGGTGAAAGTGCTGAATAAGAATGTATCAGCTAATTCAATTCTATTGGTTTTGGACTCAAATTCATCTTGCACTACAGATATTAAAATGCCTCTAATTGTGCCATCAACATTCAGAGCATATTTTATTTCTACTGGAAGACATTCAGTCACCCAGACAATGACTCCAAGGTCACAGCACTTTCTTTTCGTTGGCTCTGATCTACAGCTAAGGGAAAGTGTGGATAGAGGCAGGTAGAAACTAAAAGCATGTTTACACTGACAGATATTTCAGGGTTGATCCAGTATGTTGGACACTGGATTGGCTCCAATCAGTGTCTGCACAGGGACTCCACCAGCTGTGCAGAGGAAGGAGAGAGGAGTTCCTATGATTCAGTCCCCAACAGAACATCATTCAGTACCACTTTGGCAACCACCCTAGTTACCCCTTCCATGTCTGTGTAACGGTAATCTCTTCCCATGACAAAAGGACCTACTTGTGCCCAGTTGCTTGCCTTGATATCAGCTACAGCAATGGAGCACTGTGGGAAAGGGGAGAGGAGAAAATACTCCCTCCTCTCCCCAATTCTCCCCATCATCTCAGCTGATGTCAGGGCAAGCAATGGGGTACAGGTAGCTCCCATGTTATGGTGAGAGACCACTGCAACATGCGGAGTGAGGGAGGAAAGGGACTGTCATCCTGTGTCACTGACCCACCCAAGCCCGGGCATAGTGGGATAGAAGTGGGGATAGTTGTGGATGGTCCCCTTTGGGAACCGGTTGAACTGTCTCCAATGCCCTTCTGTTGGAGGAAAGTCCAAATACTGAGTCAGAATTTGGACTTTCCCCTGACTTTGGGTAATGTGGGCCAAGGCTACATTAAGTGGCCTTGCCCCACATTACTCCAGATCAGTCCCATGAAACATTTGGTGCTGATTTTCATCTACACCAACAAGGGCAGGGAATTTCAGATGAGGAACACTGTAAAAAGGTATATATATTCTGTGGAAAAGGTGAGGCATGAATCCAATGAATAAAATAATAATATATATCTTACCGTTTGTTTTCATTCACACTTTCAGCACACAAATAAAAAGTTTTAAACTCCTCAGAAGGTGCTTTCACTTCAATCACAGATCTCCTAGAGCCAAGGGCCTGTTCACTCACAGTGTATCCCTGCAAGTATATCCCACCTAAAGGAAGAAAAGAAGGAAGGAGGAGAGGAAGGTCCCTGTTGAGTGACACAGGCGATATTATGCATAGTGATAGTTCTATATTCAGTAGCTGCTATTTCCAGGATAGTATGAAAAAATTCTGCTGAAGATACTAAAGCATTAATGCTTTGGCTCAGTGTAACATAAAATACACATGCCTCACCAAACTATAGATCCAGGGATACCACGTTGTCATGGTAATTGAAGAGGAATAGTGTGTAGGAGCTCGGATCACACTAGACATATATGAAGGAAGTCAGGGGGTGAAGCTTGTCAATTTCATAAAAACCCTGTCATTTTGCCATGTAATTCTGATGTTTTGCCTTTTTGCATTAACTGGGAATGGCACAATTTTGATTAAATGAAGAAAACAAAGCCTACCACTTACCAAGGGCATGTGTAGAGCGTATGCTGGCATAAAAGTATAAGCAGCCATCTTTCAAGATGCAGTAGTGTTGAACCCACATGTCCTTGTTTTTGTCCAGTTGGTGAAGAAGCCCCAAGCATTCAGGGTTTTTGATAGCAAGTGGTGGAAGGCTGGTATTGTGCATGGTCACATCTACCCATACATGGTTCTGTATGTTTGGATTAGAAAAATATCACTTTTCCTTCACTGTTAGAGGTTAAAAACTTTACAAATTTTCCTAAAAATATGTTTTTCTAAAAATAATGATATACATTTCAACAATACATACAGCAACAAATCATAACATAATATCTTGATTTTATATCATCTAATCTCTTGTCCCTCCCCAAATCACAGACATTTACAAACTACTTTTTGTTCAGTCCTATTACTAATTGATTGTATAACTTTATTCATAAGACACGGAACATGAGATTCAAGGTGGGAATTCAACTTAAATATTAGATAAAAACTTCCTGACAATAACGGCTGTTTGAAAATCGAATATGGTGCCTTGCAATATGGTGAAGTCTCCTTCTCTAGAGGTTTTTAAAAAGAAGCTGGATGACTATCTTTCAGGAGAGCTTTGAATGTGCTTTGAATCCTACATGGCAAACGGTTGGACAAGATGGTCCTTGTGGTCTCTTACAACTCTACAGTTCTATGATATGACATCTATTATTGCTCTAATATTCTCCTATCGAATGGAAGATATGAGAGTGTCTCTATGGCTGATTATGCAGAACAAATCTCAAAAAAGTAACAGAACCTTTGACAATTAAAAAAGTTGCAATCTAATGGGGAAATATATCTATAGATATAGACCATGTTATTTCAATTCATTCTTCTACAGCTAAGGGAATTCTGGCCTACAATGTCAATCTAATGTGCTTGTTTATCTACAAACATTGTAAGCAATGTAGGAACATATGGTATGTCTTTGTCCATCTACAATCCCTGGAGAACAATGGTACAATACTGAATGTGCCTTAGATTATCTGTTTTCCTTTAAATTATATTTCTGGGACTTCTGGTGAGCCTGTGAAGAGACAATGCTTCTGGAAATATCATTTGCCTAAGTTAACCTTCCACGATGAACTATGTTGTACTGCAGGAAAATGTAAGGAAGAGCAGATAACCATATTCATGAAACAGACATATCATTCTTTTTCACATTCTTTTTCACATTAGGGTGACACGGTGGGCAAATTTAAAGGACAATGATTTGTGCAAAGCAGAATGTGGTGCTGAACTCATGAAGTACCCTGAACAAAATTAAACAAGCCATGATGTGTTTTTACAACTTTTGTTATGTCTCCTTCCTATTCCCATTTGTCCACATCTGATTCAAAATGGGCAACAAAGGAAAATCCCAAGTTCAAACAATGATTATAGGTTGGATTTAAGCAAGCCAGAGTTCATGAGCTAACAATCAATTATGGATTCAAATTATGCTATGTAGCTCATTAACAAACAACGGCCTCTTAGTAGAGGCAGATGTGCACCTCAGAACAAACTAGAGATATCGCCATACTATAGTAAAGCTTCCCCTCATCTGTGAATGTGGTCAGTGTCCAGGCTTCAGGAAAGAGTTTGCTTATTATTTTAAAAATCTTTTGGAAGCTTGTAAAACATAAAATGATGGCAACTGTGCTCTAATAGCTCCATCTGTTTTTTTAAAGAAGACAATGGAAAACAGAAATTACTGGAGAAATTGGTTATGTAATTATATCTCTTATCTGTTCACATAAAAAGGAATGAAGAAGCCGTATCTTAAATGTAATGTGACAAGAAAAGGTTATCCTCCATCACAATAATTTGTTGTTCAAGTAGTCAAAATTACTTAGAGGCTGAAATAGCATATAATCATATTTCCCAACAAGTAAACCTCTTTCTGTACTGCTCTTAATGACACTTAACCTATTTTAAAATCCTACATATTTATCTGCTTGAACGTTTTTGCTTTTATGTAGAACTTGCCATACACTTTAACAAACGTATTTACTTTTTAGTAGCATTCTTTCCACCCCTAACATCCAATAGTTTTTAAGATGGCATATGAGAGTAATTGTAGAGTTAACATGGCAATTAACTCTACTTGGACTCTTGGGTGACTGTGTATGGACCAACATAGACCTCTTTCATTGATTTGGCAAGATAAATGTACAAGTATTTCATAGTGTGTAAGATCTATTATATAACTTAATAAATTAGAATAGTAATCCCTGAATAAGATGAAAAATGAGCAAACTATTTTGTAGAGGTGACATAAAGACTCCAACAAACGAAGTGACAGAGAAAGAAAAAGCACTGGAGAAAATCTGTTATCTTTATCCCCACCGCTTGATATAGTGGTGATTCTGAAATCAAATCTTACCTGATGAACAGGATGCACAGCTTTCTCCATTGCCTCTAGCCATCTATGGGGAAATAAACAGATACAATAAGCACATTTGGCAAGAAAAAATACACTATAGTAAGCACTCTATACTTTAGGACATATATGACAAGTACTACTGGCCTGCATAACAAAATATTTGGTAGCAGATCTGGTCCACAAAGTAAGGCAGTTACCCACTAACCCACTGCATTCAAGTGAGGTGGAAGATGCTGGTCTACTGCAAGTGTTGAACTATGCCTCTGATGCAAATCTAGTTAATTCAGATGCCAATCTAATTAATTCAGATACATGTAATGGGAATGGAGACCAAGGCCACAGGGATCCTGGTATTATTTTTAAGGGGAGGTCAACACCAGTAGACATATTTATTATTTTTTACTAATTGTAGGGATAGATAAATTCATATCTCAGCAGTGTTGTGGTATGTCTCCTGCATTTGTGGAGGATGTGTACTTGGACTTAACACAGTTAGATAAAATCATGGGTAACAGCAAACCCTACTGAATCAATGACCTCTGGTGAAAGCATATCATGAAGCCATGCTGAAGGATCAGAAAGTGCCTAGAGAGGACATATCTCTAGAAATTGCTAGGTGCTCCTAGTGACTTTATGGTCAGCATCTGAGAGTAGCATACCATAAAATCATGCTGGAAGGCATGAGGGTATATGTTTTGTCTGGTATGGATAAATGAAACCATGGTACCAGTCACACAATACATGGGCTGTACTAGATTCCAACATCCTTAAATATGAATACTCTTACTAGCACAATATGTATATAGAAGGACTCTCCATGTATTCAGTGTAGCTCAGTCCTAAGTAAGCAAGTCTAATGTAGATAGAAGGCAGTCTGGCTTTTTTTGGGGGGGGAGGGGGGGTGGTATCAACAAAGGCTTCCTTAATGTTTCCAAGCACTTAACCATTTAACACAGATCTAATTCATATATTGTACACTGTCTTTTCTTATTGTACACTGTCTTTTCTGTTGCTGTTCACCGCCCCGAGTCGCCCTCGGGCTGAGAGGGGCGGTCAATAAATGCAAGAAATAAATAAATAAATAAATAATAATGTTAGATGATGCTCAACTACATATTATTCTGGGGGACTTGGCTCACACTAGTCTGGTCTTGAAGCACCTGATTTCAGATTTTATCTAGGGCTAGATTCAAAGTGAAGTTAGTATCTTGCAAAACAGGTACTAATATCCTCTACAACATTTCTAATAAAAGCATGAAGAAATACTTTGCAAGGTCACACATTTTTTCCCTGCTTTTGAAGGATAGACATACACAGCCATATGTTAAATTATGAGTGCCTGGAGGGAGGCACAGTTGACTCTGAGTGCATTAATGTTGTTCTGGTTGCTTTCTCTCTGTGTGTTTCTAAATGAACCTTGATTTAAAGTAACTCTTCCGATTAACATACAAAGAGAAAAACTGCATATGTACAGAATGTATTGGAAATGCATGCACTGGAGTCCTAGAATGAAGCATGCCTCTGGGTATGAGCGGATGGGAAAGAAGAGCAAGGGAGCCTGAGTTGTGTCCTACTTCTGGCCTTCCCAGAGGCATTGGCTGGTTGTTCTGGGAAAGAGGATGCTGAACTACAGCAGCTTTTGCTTTGTTGCAGCATGACTCTTCATATATTAAAGAACAAAAAAAAAAAAAACCCAACTCCAAGAGGGAACAAATGGAGAAAAAAATGCTTATATAGAAAGATTTTTGAAAAAAAAAGAAACTTCAGTATCATATTTAACATCAATACTAGAGATATGAAGCACCAGAGTGATATTTATACAACTGACCTTAATATACAATATATACATTGCAAACTTTTTTTAAAGGAAAAGATGAAATGAATTTCAGAGGATTATGTACCTCTTCATCTCTTGGTTTGATGTGGCACAGAAATAGAAAGTCCTGTTTCCTGTTTGAGGAACACACTTAAATACAAAAGGTTTGCCAAGGCTGCTATCCATGCCAATTTCAGCCCCTTCTAACTTGGTTACTTCTAAGGGTCTGCTCTTTCCTTCATCCTGCAACAAAGAAAAAGCCATTGGAGAAAACTATTGAAGAAAAATCAGGGGACAGAGAAATGAAAACTATTTAAAAATAATCTTGCACTTTTATTACAATTACAAAAACAAAGGCTGCAAACTTACAGAGAACAGAAGTTCGGAATCAACTTCCACAGTACTGCAATGATGTGAGAACAGTACTGGTGACTCATGGTACATCTACGCTGTAGGATTAATGCAGTTTGAAACTACTTTAACTGCCATGGCTCAATGCTATGGAATCCCAGGATTTATAGTTTGATGAGGCACCAGAACTCTTTGGCAGAAAGCTGGAGACCTTGTAAAATCATAATTCCACATTATTGAGCCATGGCAGTTAAAAGGGTGTCAAACTGCATTAATTCTGTGGTGATAAATGCACCCTTAAGGAGGCAATAGAAGTCTTATGCTACTTTATATTGGTTCCTGCTCCTTTCTTAAAAATTCATAGTTCTGCTTTTCTTTTAGCACAGCTGGGACGGAGGAGGCCCAGACTGAATCCATGGTTCTTCTGATTCTTTGGCCAAATTCCTCCACTCCTGCCATTGCCACTACTATGGTATCTGCAGGCTTTACAACAGATGGTGGGAGAATGAGCTGATAATAAAATTATACAGTGATTCAGAGATGAGACATTATCATGCCTGCCATCCAAAGACTAAGTGAAACTTGGGGGCTTGTTTGACAAAGTTGGTTTGGTTTTATGATTGACAGCCAGCTGCTAAAAATGTAGGGTTGGCTGCTATGCTTCCATTTGAAATAATAACATTGGCAGTGATGCATCACAAAAAGAAAATATATTGCAATGAGAAATTAACCCTGTAGATACAGTGTTCCCTCCAGCCTTTTGTGTAGTAATTTCAGAGAGTGTTATGGAAAAACCCGTATACAGCATTCCAATCAAACACTAGTGAATTGGAACCCTACCCACTATATTTCTTTTCTTTTCTTTTTTCTTTTTGGTTCTATTTGCCTTCTCTGGAACAAATTCTTACATAGAGCTTGCCTACAATTATCCAACTGTAACCTTTCAGATGTGATTTTCTCCCCTAATGGTTACTTTGGTATACATCTTTTAAGTACACATGCAAAGGCTTGAGTAAAGAGATAATGCTCTGTTAGTAATTTCAAAGCATTTCTGTGCGGAAGTTATTAATACTTTGCATGTTTTAAATTGTATATATATATGGGGGTTAGCTACAGTAACACTGGAGCGGCCTATTTCAAAGAAAACCTTCATCAGCGTTACCATGGAGACCAAGTCAAGCTGGCAGCAGTTGGAGACGTGGGAGGAGCCAAGGGGAGAGAGTGCAGCAATGGACAGTTTGTGTCAGTTGGGAGTTGGTTAGTGTTCTGGGAAGCAGTGAGTTTGTATAGGGAGCAGTGAGAGAGTGAAAGGAAGGGTGAAGTAAAATAGCGAGGCTTTGGGAAGCCTGAATAAGCAGTCTGGAGGTTTCTCAGTCTAAAAAGGCTGTAAGGAGAAACATAGCCAGTTTCTTTAGTTAGGTTAAGGCTAAAGAATAAGCTTGTAGAGTTATTTGATCAAGGACAGATCAAATGGGAGAGATATACCTGTATTGAAACATTGTTTAATAAAAAGAACTTCACCTCAGGAAGAGTAAACGATACAGTGTAACCTGGAAGAGTAAACGATACTGTGTAACCTGGAAGAGTGGAAAGCATTTCAAACCAAGTATCCTTTAAAGTTCAATAAGAAAGTTTACAACTTGCAACCATATGCTGTTTACTAAATAAACTTGTTATCTTTAGTTGAAACAGTCTCATCTCCATCAATACTGCGTCTGATGTATCAAACCCCACAGTAAAACCTCATACCTCGCATTGGTGGCAGAATTTAAAGAAATATACAACAAATCACTCTCCGCTCCCCTACTTCCTTGCAATTTCCTTCAAAATATTTTTATAAACACACATCTTCTTTACTAGGTAAACCAACAACCAAGATAAAACTACACAGCAACTTCAAACTAAACTTATTAAACTAAACTTGAATGGACATATCTTAAATAAACAATAAACAGGGTAGACAAGTGACTTCTAACTTTCTGACTACTGGTTGTAAGGAGTAGTATTTTATACTTCCTTGACCATTTACTGCTAAATATGCCTCTACATATTATTTGATTCTACTGTTCTTCAAATTCTAAAAATATTTTACACTAAATAATCCCTTAAACCTTCATTGGATTTCTCAGCGAAATACTATTAAATTATTCTCATGTCCTGTACTAATTTAGAAAAATATTATGACACAGACGGGGTGAGAGAATAATGTAGCAGGTGAGTGTCAAAATGTTATATAAATCAAGAAGTAATTTGCATGCATTTCCATGTTGCATAGGAGTTTCCCCCAATATTGTCGGGAAATCAGAATAAAATGCTTTTTCCACTTTTAGCTCAGCTAGGCTTAACTGTAGTTGTTGCTCAGCTAATACATAAACATAAGTTTCCACGGTTAGCTCTTTTAAGACAATTGTCATTTCAGCAAAGGAAAACTCTTACTTCTAAAGAGCGTTTGTGAAAATATGAAATCCTTGTTTTCATCAAGACAACAAGATGATGAGTTTTGCTAGGTAGATGCATGATGTTTTTTTTTCTCTTGCCTAGTTTCTAAAGAAACACAACTTTCAATATTCCAGCAATGCTCATTTTTCTCCATAAGAAAACTGAAAAGTGGTGTCTTCTAATTATGGAAGCAGAAATCTAAAGCAGTCATAAGAACAACTATTAAAAGGTTGACCAGAAACAAGAGGGGAAGCTGCAGCTCTGTGGCAGAGCATATGCTTTGCATGCAAAAGGCTGGAGGTTCAATTGGTAGTGTCTCCATGTGGTTATTGGGGGGGGGGACCTTCCTACCATTGTTGGTCACAATGGAAACTATGAGTTGGCCATATGCAATCTGTAGTCATATGGAACCCTGTTTTGGATACCCTTACTTGCTACTACAAAAACAGATGAACAAACAACCATGGCAAGGGTATTAAAATCTACTTGGACCCCTCCAGAAAGCACAATTCTCTTCTAAAGCAACCATACATGCCCCAAAGTTTTGAATAAATTCAGTTCCAGTTATTTCCATGCTGCCTGCCACATTATCACAGGGTGTCTGCACCCTACACCAGACAAATTTCACTGCTTAGCTGGCATTGCACCACCTGACATCTACCGGGAAGTAGCAGTCAATAGTGAAAGGACCAAGGCAGAGACATTTCCGACCCATCTCCTGTTCAGGTATCAGCCAGCATGCCAACGCCTTAAATCAAGAAATAGTTTTCTAAGATGTACGGAGACACTCACAAGAACAACTCAGCAGACGAGAGTCCAAAACTGGCAGGCTAAAACCCGGAACCTCAATCCATGGCTAATACCAAATGAGAGACTCCTTCATGGGTACACAGAAGACTGGACGACTTGGAAGGAGCTGAACAGACTGTGCTCTGGCACCACGAGATGCAGAGCCAACCTTAAGAAATGGGGCCACAAAGTGGAGTCCACAACATGTGAGTGTGGAGAAGAGCAAACCACAGACCACCTATTACAATGCAGTCTGAGCCCTGCCACATGCACAACGGAGGACCTTCTTATAGCAAAACCAGAGGCCCTCCAAGTGGCCAGCTTCTGGTCAAAGGACTTTTATAGAATGCCAAGTTTTCAGACTTTGAAAACTTGGCATTCAAACAGTTATAATGTATCTTTTCAAAATACATTATAACTGCACCCTTGGTTTGGTCCTGATACAATAAATAAATAAATCATTTCCATTTTCTCTTGTATGAAATACATACAAAAACACTAGTGATCACACTCACAGACTACTAAACACTCTTTGGAATCAATAAACAATGCACCATTAACAGCTCATCACAACAATGTTCCAAAAGCTTGAAAGAATAGCAAGGCTTTCATTTGCCAGTGGAAGAGAGAGTGAGGAGGGCACCTTCCTAGCCAAGTTCTTTTCCATCTGTCTGGGGCTCATATGCTTTATTAAATGAGTTCAATCCAACAGCAGCATTGTCCAAGTGGAAAAACACCTTCCTTTGTGCCAGGCACATGGAATCTGGTATTTAGGTCCTACATTTGTCTTTTTTATTGTTGTAATTGTTATGTGCTTTTCTGACTCATTGTAACCCTATCATGGGGTTTCGTGGGAGTAGGGGGGGAAGGTGAGAATAACTCATTGAAGGTCAGTGGGCTTCCATGGCAGAGTGGAGAATCAAACCCTGGTCTCTACAGTCATAGTCCTACACTTATGCCACTACACTGCACTGGCTATCATTCTCCATTTTTGTGGGATAGCTGGAACATGTTCTTAAATCTATGGTTCATAATGCCTGTGAGCTCCCAATCCAAAAGCACATTTGTTGGGTGGTCACATATCCTGACGCATGGCACACAAAGAAAGGAGATGAGCTTTAGAGTATGTATGATATATGCATCCTTTTGCTACTGCTTGGCGGCCACTCCCTACCGCAGCAAATGCAGTTTGTGATTTCCATTAGTAAAGAAAATTAATCACTTCAGAGGAACACAAAGAGCAGCCAGGAATGAGTCATGGCACCTTGAAGGCTAACAGATTTATTGTGGCATAAGCTTTTGTGGATGAGAACCCAGATAGAAGGTTAGTGTTTAATTAGCAAACACATTCAGTAACAATGGGCATCAGAGATGCTCTGCAAATGAAATCAGATTGTATGCTGGTTATAAAGAATGGGGTGACTCTCTGCCTGTGCTGGATAAAGCTCTCTGTCAGAATAAAAAGCAAATTCTCATTGTACCTCTAGGAGGAATAGCTTGGACCTAAATCTATTTATAGTTAAGCCTTTTATATAAAGCACTTAGATTTAGCAATGAATACATAGGCTTGAAAAAAGAGAGCCCTGAATGTTCTGTCACTGAACAAGACAATGTGAAAAGTCTAAACCCTGAGAAAATATCTATCTATCTATCTATCTATCTAT